CATTTGTATCAGGTCAACTAAATGTGGGCATAGTAACAATATTTATTATTTTATCTACATTTATACATTTTATGCAACTAAGGCAAAAATGTAATTAATTTAGAAAATCTTTTCAGGACCCCACCTTGATGTTTCAGGACCCCGCTTTGGGTCCCGACCCCAACTTTGGGAACCACTGGCCTGCAGTATTTTTACAGTCTTTATTTTACAGTTAAAATAAATGTTTAGCAAATAAAGTCTAATGTTACAACTAATCGGGGATCCCTTTAATAGACAACAAATGCTCGCTAAAAACATTATCACTCGCGCTTTATTTTGAAATGCGTAAAACTGTGTTTCCTTCTCCCTCCTGTCGGCATATTCGAGTGACAGAGTGCTAGCTTGAGGGACCAGTCCACCATCGTAGGGTTAATGTGAAATYAACTGATTGTTAAATTGAAACTGCTTTAAAAAAAAGAAAAGGCATGGAGWGAAAGGAGAAAATGATGCAGCAGCTCGAGAGCAGATAAAACAGGAATGGTCACCACTTTGGCAGGATTTCACACAGTTTAAGTTTTTGTCTAAAACTAATCAATAATAATAAATATTGACAGATATCCTGATACATTTTTCAGCCCTATCATCCAGCTCTAATCTGTAACATTAAAAAAACAAATAAACTTGAAAAACCAAAGGTTAAACAAACCTCCATCCAGAGAGAGACGTTGTCCATTTTGAGGGTGGAGTAGGTGTCGTTCAGGTACATCTTCAGAGCGGCCGTCTGCGTGGCGATGGAGGGCAGCGCGGCGGCGTTGTCTGAAGACGCGCCCACGTACAGAGCGTAGTCACAGCGGCAGCCTGCTTTGGCCAGCTGGAAACAAACATTTCATTCAATCCTAAATGCCCCAAATTAGCATTAAGATGATTTTATTACTAAAATAAGATCCGTGTGCTTTTGTTTTCACCTRCTRCACTCATAAAACTCATTCTATCAAGTTCAAACTGAAATAAAACCAATCTGTGTGTGTACCTTCTGTACGAGCGCCAGAGTGTTGGCGTCCGTTACGGCGGGAGACGTGTTGGGCATGGCGCACACCAGAGTCACGCCTCCTGCCAGAGCGGCGGCGGTCCCAGAGGAGAAGTCCTCTTTATAAGTGGCCCCCGGCTCCCGTAGATGAACATGGACGTCAATCAGACCTGAAATTTGAACAGAAAAGGACTCAAACCACAAGCTTAAAACCTGCTAACCTTCGGGCATAAAATACCATAAAACGCCTTAAAAAGTACACACAAATTAAATGAAGTACTGCTTTTGAACCC